CCATCTGCATTCAGACTCCAAAGTTCTTTCTCTGGATATGGACAGCATTTTCCATCATGAGACTTCTGGAGATGTATTAGATTCTTGCATTGCTGAAAAAGGCCGAGTCTATCAATGTTAGTCATCACACAATGTGGCTGTTACTGTGTACAACGTTCTCCTGGTTCTGCTCACTTCACTCAGCATCAGTCCATACAAGTCTTTCCAGGTTTTTCTGAAGTTTGCCTGCTCACCATTTTTTAGAGCACAATAGTATTCCATTACATTCATATGACACAATTTGTTCAGCCATTCCCCAATTGATGAGCATCCCCTCAATTTCCAGTTCTTGGCCACCACAGAAAGAGCTGCTATATTTTTGTACACGTGGGTCCTTTTTCCATTTGTATGATCTCTTTGGGATATAGACCTAGAAGTGGTATTGCTGGGTCAAAGGGTATGCAGTTTTATAACCCTTTAGGCATAGTTCCAAATTGCTTTCCAGAATGACTGGATCAGTTTACAACTCCACCAACAATGCATTAATGTTTCATTTTTTCCACATCTTCTCCAACATTTATTATTTTCCTATTTTGTCATGTTAGCCAGTCTGATAGGTGTGAGGTGGTACCTCAGAGTTGTTTTGATTCGCATTTCTCTAATCAATGATTGAGAACATTTTTTTCATGTGACTATAGATGGCTTTAATTTCTTCATCTGGAAACTGCCTGTTTATATCCTTTGACCATCTATCAATTGGGGAATGACTTATGTTCTTATAAATTTGCTGGTCTCCTTGTCTTGAGTCTTTCCCCCTCCTTTCCATGATTCACCCTCTTGACAAAACCTTCTGCTCTTGGCCCATCATCTTCACATCTCTCTCACTGAACATTGGACTCCAACCCTGGGTCTAAACTGGATCTATCCATCCATCCATCCTCACCTCCCACTGCAAAAAACTCTCTGTATTGCCTGCCTCTTGAATAAAATATAAAATCTTGGCCTGGAGTGTAAGGCTTTCACAATCTGGCCCCATCCCCCTTTTCCCACCACATTTCACCTGCTCCCATTCCTACACTCTACATTCAACTGTCCCCCATTCCTTTCTTACCTCTGCCTTTCATAATATGTAAGGGTGCAGCTTGGACAACACGTCATCCACACATGCCCTTCCCCCAACCCCCAAGGGCTGGTTTTCCTTCCTCAAATTTGCTTGAATCTGTTGCCTCATACTCCCTTGTATTCTTGTTTACCCCCCAATCCCCCAGCAGAATTTAAGCTTTTTGTCTTTGTACCCCCAGCACCTGCATAGAGCACAGCGCCTTCCCTGCACATTGTTGATGTTATTCAGTCATGACTCTGTTCTAAGCACTAGGGATATAAATATGGAGGGAAAAAAAAACCCAATGCCTGCCCCCGAGGAGCTTGCAATCTACTTTGTTGAATGTTTTCAGTCAAGTCTGACCATTTGTGACCCCATTTGAGATTTTCTTGGCAAAGACATTGGGATGGCTTGCCATTCCCTTCTCCAGTCATTTTACAGATGAGGAAACTGACAAATGGAGGTT